GCTTATCGGCCGATGCCGATGATGAAAAAAAAGCTAATAATTGGCCCGATAAATCAGCCTACCGATATATCGGTCAACCCCTAGTAGACTTTGATTAATTTGTCGGGGCAGTATGCAGGGTTTTTCCTGCGTTCAAATTTGCGTGGCAGCCACCTCCAGCTAATTTTCTGCCAACCCAGCCTGATTTCACTCTACCCCCAGCTATATGGATGTTATTTTAACTGCAGTTGCTGAATTGCGCCACTATAGGGGCGCTGTATCAGCAGCGATGCACCGAAAAGCGCCAAAACCGCTGCAGAAAAAGATAAAAAATTGCTTTTCTCGCTAGTTGGTACATATCTATGGTTGATGCTGTTGTAGGGTGATCATACGTCCTCTTTCCCCTGGACATGTCCACTTTTCACTCTCTGTCTGGGGCGTCCGGGGGGTTTCCTACATTGATCAAAATGTCCAGTTTTTCATTCAGGAGTAGGGATCGAGATATGGGGGCTAGATATCTGTCAGGGAAAGATCCAGTTTCTGCCTATATTACAATATTTATGGACTCTCGGCGTAACGGGATTCTGTTGAGCAGAGAGGACTAGGGTTGTCACGGCAACCGGTGTAGTGGTAAACCCCGGTAAAAAAGTTGACAATAATAATAACCGTCTTGTTTTTTAAAAACTAAATTATCTCGGTGGATTACCGTGGATGCGGTGTAGGCATGGTGACCCTTACCAGCCACCGTATCATCTGCTCAAGTTGCCGGCAGCACTTTCGCACTTTGTTGTTCACAACCAAAACTTTCTTGAAGCTAAAGCTGAAATAACGGCCAAAGGAGGAGACGGCAGCGCTCAGGACATTTATTATCCCTCAAAGAAGACAAAGTGGGAAGTACGGGCATCTTTTGGATATTTGATGAATGCCGAGGGACAGTTGATAGAAGACGGCTGTCCTGTTTGCAGCACGTGTAGAAAAAGTGTCTGAGAAAGGCAGCAACGCTTCAAATCTCATGACACATCTGCGTGACCATCACCCACAACTCTACAGTCAACGCAAGGCAAGTTAACGTTAGCGTTTTAGCTAAAATGTGTGATTCGAGGATTTGGGTTGAGGGAGAATGCAATGAGTCGCTATATAAAGCAGCCGCAGCGCCGCTACCTGCATATAAACCGTGTCGCGGACACCGCCATGTTGAAATGACGCTATGCATTACGGGGCTCCCAGCGGCAGATAAGAGTTGGTCTCTCTCCGAGAATAATTATTAATTTAACAATGATTACTGCCTGATGACATTTTCCCACATCTGCAAAGCTCACTGGAACACAAACCGAGAACGATATTTTCCTGATATAGGGTTTATTACTCAAGTAAGGGTAAAAAAAAAAGTATCTGATTAGAAGGCTACTTGAGTACTGAGTATCATCTGGTCTAATATTTTTAAAATGATGACATCAAACAGACATAAAATAAGAAGTTATGGGCAAATATTGGTATTTTAAAGACTAAAGGGGGAAATGTAAACAAATAAACAACATAATTACAAAATAACACATTTTAGGCAGAATTTAGACACAAACTGAGGACAATATTTTCCTGATATACAGGATTTATTTAGTTGTCTGAAAATGTAACACGTTTTAAAAAAATACCGTGATAATACCAAAAACCGTGATCATTTTGGTCACAATAATCGTGAGGTTAAATTTTCACAACGGTGAAATGGTGCATGGTCAGGATGGTACCACCTCCAGGGTATCTGCAGGTTTAAGGGAGCCAAATTTAAGACTTTTTAAGACCTTTTTAAAGCCACTTTGACCAAATTTAAGCTATTTTCAATATTAAATTTAAGCTATCATTTCCAGCTATTGCCTGGAACCGGTGCTAACCACATCGCGAACATGGGATTAGCCATCCAGTTGCCATTAAACTTCTCCATGGCGCAAGCTCCCCCTAGCCTAGCTTAACCAGCTAATGTGCTCATCTAAAAATAGCCCCCTTTCACAACCAACTGAGTGTGTACGGTTCCGCTTACGCCAACATCACACACAAAAAATCCTGAACACTGACTAGAAATTCACAAAATTTTTATCGAAATAAAAGAATCTTGTTTAGTGGGCCTTTGGTAATTTAAGACCTTTGGAAACTGTATTTAAAGAGCAAGTCACCCCCTACAAGAGACTTACTTCACTCCCACTTAATGTTTGAAAAATGCAACAAATACTGTTGCCTGGCAGACCGAGAGGGCGGAGCTGCTAACAAATACACAAACATACAGGCTTACAATGGCATTGTGACATCATAATGTACCAGTTTACATCATAGCATACCTCTTAGCAAATAGCGGTGGCAGATTTAAATTCAAATACAGTGCAGAGTTTTTACCTGATGATGGCGCAACACTGACAGTTTTAGGCAGAACATTTAAAATTTTACTAAAATGCACTGGTTCCAAATTATTGATTACACATGTCTGCAGCACGATTAGACACTCGTTCATGCCGTTTATCAGCAAAAAAAAGTTGGTTTGGGGGTGACTTGCCCTTTAAGGATTATTTGTCATTTTTAAGGATTTTTAAGGCCTTAAATTTTGAAAAGCAAATTTAAGACTTTTTAAGACTTTTTAAGGACCCGCGGATACCCTGCACCTCTGCCTCAATTTGAGCCAGGAAAAACCCTGAGTAGGGCACCCATGGACTGGAAGTAGATGGACGTGACTTAGGCTTCCAATAATGCTAAAGATTTTAGCCTCAAGTAAACCTCATTTTTACTTCCCAAACCGTTTTTTGTGTTTGACATGTTCAGCTTTTGAAAATTTATTTTTATATCAAAACAACCTTCTGATATCTTCAAACCTCACTTTAAATGTATGATTTTATGACGTTGTTTTATTTTGTTTTGATCTATGTGAAGCACTTTGTGATTCTATGCCTGTGATTAGTGCTAGAGATCAAATTTACTTACTAAAATAGTGTTTACTTTTATATTGTGATATATCGCAATTTACTTGTATGAAAAGTAATCGTGATACGATTTTTCCCTTTTTGCCCAGCCCTAGTCAGTGGAGGCCGACCGATTTTTTTCTATATCAGCCGATGTTATTTTTAAAAGCCAATTAAAAAAATAATAATAGTCAGGCACCTGTGTGGCCAACTGCTGCCACTACTAGACCGAAGAAAGGGCCCAAAGGACCCCAACACACCGTTATTTTTTTATGTTTTGAGTTTGCTCTATATTTAAAGTTCAATAAATATCAAGAGATTTGACTTTTTTAATTTATATTGCACACAGTGAGTTCAATTGTCATTCAAAAATCAATGTGCTGCTAAAACACACACACACACACAAACAGGCCTTCATAATTGGCTTAAGATATTCTATATATATATATATATATATATATATATATTTAAGATAAATTCTTTAAAAATCGGTATCAGCCTAAAAAAATAAAACATCGGTTGGCCTCTAGTAGTCAGACACTATTGCTGCTTTTAGATTAAATAAATTAACATTTTAATTGTGAGGGGACTTTAACTTAAACTTGAGATAGGTCACTGCCCAAACATTTGTTTTTTCAGCTGATCTCAAAGAACAGGAATAACACAGCATCTCTTTTCTATAACATGGTCACAAAACTATTTAGTAAGTCAGACAAAAAGACTTCCTGATCCTCCACATAAAACTGAACCAGAGACAAAAATTTCCCCACACTGGCAAGTTAAATGCCCTGTAGCATTATTCCTTCCATTTGTACAACCTACTTATGCTGCATTACAAAGTCAGCAAGTATAATGTTTGAGAGCAGAGCAGAAACATAGCAGACCAAAGGGGAATAATGTAATTACAGTCACACTTCTCCACTGTGGCTTGTGAAACTTATTTTGACCAGAAATTTCTGTTTCTGTTGCAAATCAAAGCACATCCCACCAGAGTTACCTCAACTCTCATTAGCATCAGAACTCCTCACAGCTTGCTCACCCACAGACATGATCCACTACATTAGCACCATTTTCAAACATCTGCTGGAGAAGTCAGAGGCGATCTGCTGCCTCCTCTGCTCAGGCCTCTTTTGGAAATGTGACATGATTGCATACAAACACCTCCAGCCAATGTTCCTTTCTGGCTTTAATAAAGCACAGCACAGACCGCTGCTGGCAAGGTGACCCGGCCCAGGTCCGCCGCAGCCCCACCACCCCCACTGGGTCAGTACAGACCCACACCATTGGTTCAGAGGCTTGTCCATCAGCTGGGGTACTGACCGCCTGGCTGGATCCACTCTCGGAGAAGGTTGGCTGCCTTTGTGTTAGAGGTTTATTATTATCGGGCTCCAGAAGGACCACCGACCCCTCTGGCCGGACAGGTGAGCTCGCTCAGCAGTCTGACTCAACATATGCCCCCTGTGGAGCTTCAGCTCACATTTTGTGTCATCATTATTTCATAGCTAGCAGGAGCGCCACTGAGCACAGCCCAGATTCAGGTGGAAAAGCAGCCTGGTGTGAAAACAGGCTTAAAAAAAAAAGAATTAAAAAAAAGCATGTGTAGCAGGTGGTGGTGGTGGAGGGAAACAAGGTGCATCTGTTAACCATCTGCTATTCTCTGAATGTGTTTGGTGGAATTTCAAACAGGTAAAAGAGTAATCTAAACTAAAAGCTGGGATTTGCTCATACGCAGTAAGACATATCCTGATCACTTAACTTTAATCACCGCTGTTTCTGATTCTTGCAAACTCCATTTAAAGAAATTAAACTAAATCATTAAAACTTCAGACAAAAGCAGGAATAAATCCATCACATCACCAGCCGCAGTAGATAGCCCCAATCTTACTGAATAAGCAGCTCTTCTGTTCAGCTGGAATTCACTTTAGGATGCTGAGACTGACCTTTAGCACAAGAAAGTATCAGATCCGACCTCCAGCCAGTTAGTAAAACGCTAACCAGCAATTAGCATCCCACCAACAGAACAAAGCACGACTGATTCAATAAAAACGTCTTAAAGGACTGAATGATAATAGCTCTTACTTTCAGACGTTGCTTTCTTCTGGTTACTTCTTTGGTCCCCATAAGGTATGAAACTGCTGCTCACCTCACTCACTGCTACAAGCTAGCTCACCGTCTGCCAGTAAAACAATTTCAACACTAACGTTTTAAAAATAATTTAAGTCATTATATTTGCTTACATTTCCTCCCTTCGACGACGTAGTACCATCTTCAAACTTTAAATTTGTTTCTTGACTGAAAAACTGCGGCGAGCCATTAATTTTAGCTAGCTAAATGTTTTAGGCTGATTCTGATTACACGTTTCACGCGCTCATTTCACGCACCCATCAGCCAATCACAAAAGTGTATTTGGTTCGATACGCCAATACTTAGCCAATTAAGATCAAGTACACACAAATTCAAAGGAACATTCTGCCGAGAAACGGCTTTTGAGTGATTCTGATTGGATGATTTTCATGACTTTATTTCGTATATTTTTCTCACCAGAGGCGGTCTAAAATCACCTAAATGTTAAATGTTAATTAGTGAGCGCTGTCTGGATAAGATTTCAGCTTTTGCTGGATCAGTGGTTGGAACAAAATGCTTAGTTAAATAATTTTTAATAAGATTGAATTAAATTGAATTCAGTTTCTTTATTTAGTGCCAAATTACCACAGGGTGTCCAAGTCACTTCACAGAGTAACATTCCAAATGAGTTAAATTCATTATGCATATTAGTTAAAAGTCTCCTGTATAAGGAAGCCCAGCAGACTGCATCCAGTCACTGACTTGTCTATCTGAGACTTTACAGCAATTAATAGTTTGGAAGCATGTTTACTTGTGGTTCTTAACAGGTATGATAATCCCATAATGCAAATAAAAACGTATATGAAAAAATAAAAACGACAGTTTTCTTACTTTTTAAGGTTGATTCCATGTCAGAGATACTCCTTTTGTTTCCCGAATAATTACAAGCAGATTGTATTGACTTATAAGTTGTTGTTTTCTTCTCTTGACAACTCCAGAGCACCGCTGACTGACTAATTATCCTACAGAAGTCCTAAATCTTTACCAGCACATATACGGAACATTTGGCTTGAAAACTCAGAAAAGAGCATCAAGATAAATCTCTGAAATCCCAAAGCGCGGGGCTCTCCTAATCCTCCCACCTGCATCTCCACAGCCGTCACAGAACAGCAGCCCTCCATATCGCCTGAGAGGGGATTTACTTGTAATGCTCTCAGAAATACAATGCATAAAATCAAGTGTCAACTCTAACAAGCTGTTCTCGGGTCAGCCGGTCCGGCCTCTTTGTCTGACGGGGTCTGGGCTCGGGCTGTCAGAGGTTAACGGCTGCACAGCGGTTTAGCATTTGATCCCACAGTTACCCAGATTTCTGAGACGACTGTGTAAATTGGGATAACCTGAGAATCCAGACGAAGCTTTCAAGGGCCAACAGCTGCTTAAGCCCATTGCCTGGCTGCCAGAGAAACTTTATCAGGGGAAGTGGAGGTTGAAATTTAATGGCGGCTAAGCTCCCTCCATCAAATTGTGAAAACAGAACCTTGTGGCACGGCTCAGGGTGGATTTAGGAGTTTGTTTGGTGTTTTCTTGCTTCAAAAATAGAAGAAAGACTTTGCGACTGTGCTGTGGTCCTCCGCTGCTTCATTCCAAGCAGGATACAAGATTTTTTGAAAAGACTGAGGTTTATTTCCCTCCACTCATCACAACTTAGCTTCACTAGAGGTTTGAATTTCTGCACTTTAGTCACAACATTTGTATTTTCCCCCTCGTCTATGTGTTTTGTATCATATTTGTGAATTTTTTCTGAGTAAAATGAAGAATATTTGCAGCGTCTAAGCTTCTTCCAACACAAGACATCTTTGATGCAAGTCACTGGTTTATTCTCCTTCTTCATGTGTTTGCTCTAGCATGGCGGTGTGTTACTTTGTACTGAGTGAATTCACATATTGAAAGATGTATAAGCTTGAGTGGCAGCATTGTATATGAACAGGCTTGGGTGTAGAGCAATTAAAGCAACAAAACAAACAAGTGATTTTTATTTGTTGTAATTAGAAAACAGTGAGAGTGTGCGATGAGCATTTTGGGAGGATAAGCTGAGCTTCTCAGAGGTTTCGGGAAACTTTCCTTCAGTTTTGACTCAATTCTTTTGAGTGTAGACCTCCCTGTTTTGTTGCATCTCTATGGGAAACACGATTTTCACCCATTTCCTGATGTTATTGTTTTTTTTATAAAGGAATCTGCATTTGATCGCCCCTAAAAAGGGGGTCAAGACGAGGCCATAGTCCCACTTTACCAGCAAAAACATCAATATGTCTACTTTAATCTGTCAGTCAGACATTCTGCTAGTGGAGTGAAGAGGTGTACGGAAAGCAAAAAGAAGCACCAAAGCTAGACCTGCTAAACCCTCTATATCCCTGCTCAAAGCTTCAAATATTGGCCTTTTTCGTAACAGATGTTGTCGTTTGATGGAGTAGAGGCGGGCTGCATTCCCTTCAGAAGACTTTCTTCTCACGATTTAGAGCAACAGCACGTGCTGCTGCAGGAGTCAAATCACAATGTTGGTTAGAAAAGCCCCAAATGAACAATGTGGTCAAATACTTACAGACTCCTATCATTTTTTTGTTTGTTTTATTCAACCAATATTTATTACAGAATAAGTTTTTGATACTTCAAATATTTTTTATAAATAGTTTTAAATAATTAAACATAGAAAAGTAAAATGAAATTTGAAAAAGTGATAACATTTGTATTTTGGGTGCAAATGCTCTAAAGAAGCTTAAAAAGACAGATTTAAAAAAAATCCTCATTTTATGTCAGTTCTTCACTTTTCATTTGAGAGAAATCAGGAGAGGAGGAATAAATCCACAGCTTTGTTTTTTTAATTTTTAACTTATTTCCTTTTGTTAGTTTCTTATTTACTGCATCTCACATCGGTGTTGTTGGACCACATCTCCATGACGATTCTGATCTGTGAAAACCCTCCAGGGTGCAGGCGGACACCGTCTCCAGCGTGTTCCTGAACGAGAGCAGGATGAATCCTAAACTCAGATTATCTGCTGCGTTTGGAACGGCTGCTGATCCCACAGCAAACACAGCCGACGTTTCAGCAGGACTGTGACTTTAATCATCAGCTCAAAGCTGTGATCCGGATCATAACAACTCACTTCTGTGTTCACCTATAACCAGCTGTTAAACGTTGCCTAAAACCACCTTTCAGACTACATCCTTAAACAGGCGACTTGCTGTTCGACTTCACTCCCTTTCATGTAAAATGTTGGATTTAAATCAGAAAGAAAAGAACACGGAGAAGCTCTCCGACTGGACCGAGTCTCAGAACACGACAGTTGTTGGATCAGCGGTAAAAACAACGTTTTTCTGAGAAAATGGAGGCAGATTTTCTCTCCAGCTCCAGAGAGGTTTTTGTCTTCCAACTAATTATCTATTCTCCCAGAGTTAAACACATTTTCCTGGCCTTTCTTTGTGGGGATTAAATTTGTCTTTTACACTTTTGCAACACTTTTCATCTATGATAGATTTTATTTGAAGCATCGTATCAAACAAACCCATAATCTGCTTTGAGGCATCTTTTCAAATCGGACTTGAACCAGAAAAAAAGAGAGAAGAGACCAAAACATTTGAATGTACTCGTGTTTATTTTATTTCTGGTGCAATTATAATTTCACACAAGCTCTTTATTTGATTTGTTTTCTGTTGATTTAAATTTTCAGTTAAAATTCACTCAGGTCGGAATTTTCCACCTTTGAAGACCTGAAGGATTTCTAAACCAAATTTTATGTTAAAATATTTGCTCATGAAAAAAATGGCTTATTTATTATAATGAAACACTTCCCAGGAGGGTTTGGGTCGGATTATTGTTTCAGAAAGTCAAATGTCTTATTTCTATTAAAACGACCTTTTCTACACAACCTGCACAAGAGTTGGGATGAAGGGTTAATGCACACGCACACAC